GCCATTTTATCTTCATAACCACACTGTGATGCAGGCCTCGATCATGATCGGCCACAGCATTCTAGATTCTAGACTTTCGTTACCGTCATTTCACTGATTCTTCCAGCTGCTCTGAGTGTTTCTAGCTACTGATCCTTGTCACGGGGGTTGGGGTTTTGTTTTTTTTTGTTGCTGTTGCTCTGTCTTACAATGGCTGTTTCTAAAACTGTAGAACTAAGTTAGGGAGGGAAGAGCACATTACTGACCCAAGGTCACCCAGGGAGCATTTGTGGCTAATGAAAACACACCATTTTAAATCCGTCCCTTCCTATTTCCCATGCTCCTAGAACAGGCCAGGTTGTACACTATAGATCAGTCTAAATCTGTACATTTGTAGAATTGATGCCTGTGTTTAACTCAGTTCTGTGCACGGCATTGGGGAAGGTCACCTTTGTATCTTCCTCCTCTGCTTTCTTCTCCCGTTCTTTCCTCTTCTCCTTCTCCCTCTCTTTCTCTTTGTGTTTTTTCTCCTTCTTTCTCGGCTTCTTGCTCTTCTTCTCTACGGGGGGAACTTCGACGTCTTGCGGAGACTTCAGGCCATCGGTGATCCTGTGCCTCTGAACAGGAAGCTTCTCGCTATCGGCTAAGGGCCTTTTCACAAAGAGAAAGAGGGAGACCGGCTACCTTGGAGAAGCGGCAATCTGCACGCTTCACAAAGGGCACATGGAAACCCCACCCGGGCTGCAAACGGCACTTCAAAAGCAGCACCACCACCACCCCCGGCCTGAATCGGTCCCAGCCCAGCTGCTGAGCCCATTTCAAACCACTCAAAAGGGCAACAGGAAAAGAAGCCCCATTTATGGATCAGACAGTTGTCTCTGCTGGCAAGTATAGAGGAGCAACGTGGAACAGCGGGGTTTTTTTTTTTTGCACTGAACCCCCAAATCCTGTTTTCACTGGCTTTTCTTTCGATTACTGGAAATGTTAAAACCCCAGCATTTACACGAAAGAAAAATAAGCTCTATCACCTCCCCCCTTGCCACCTTCAGGGCGGTGAGTGTGCTAAACAAGAAGAGAAAGAGAAGTCTGCATCAGGAACGTCCTTTGGTCGCTGCCAATTCTGTAGGCTACCAAGCAGACTTATGGGCGCCTTGGAACAACGGCCAACCCCACCTGCCTGCAAGACTCTTCATCTCACTTGGGAAAGGGGAACTGGGAGAGAAAGCAGCCAAGCACTGTAAAGCTCAACAGGGTCAGGGACCCGCATCGAACAGTTCTTTGGATCTCCTTTTCTGCATCCGCTTCAGATGCACCCGGCCTGCTTACGGCACGGGCTTGTAAGGATAGCCCTTTCCCCCCGTGGTGAAGACAGCTCGGCGGCCAGCAACCCAGCAACCAAGCATGGCATGCTAGGCACAGATCGCTTTTTTTTTTAAATAATCCAGGCTGCCAAGCCACTCTTCTGCACATGTGCGAGTAAATGGGGGGCAGTAAATCGCTCCGTGGCTTCATTTGCGGGATGGGAATAGAGAGAGAGAGTCTCTTGCTGACAATTGGAAGCGCCACCCGGATCATGACGGCCCTGTTGTGGTTTACAGTGTGACGGAGGCAGCCAACCTTCCACAAGTCTAGATACTTGAGATCCTCTTACCTGCCAGGCCTCCCTGAAACCAGACTGGGTGTGAGAGACAGAAAGAGAGAGAAAGGATAAAGGTGGGTGGGGAAAAACCTATGATAGAATGCAGCGATGGTGCAGGGATGGAAAGAGTAGAAGGAGTGAGAGAGAAATGGTCAAGAGGTCCCGGGCGAGGGCATGTGGGACGGACCCTGCAGAAACCCACCCCCCTCTCTTGCAAACACCTGTGCTGGCCAAGGTACATTAGGAAGGCACATACGGGTGCAATAAGGAACTACCGACCTCTTCTCACTCCTGAGGTTCTCCTGTCGTGTAAGAAGACAGCAGCCCCGCTGGCTCACACCAGCATTTTGCTTGGCAAAACAGCCACCGGAAGCAGAGAAGTGAGTCTAAAGCCTCCTCTGCTATTGCCCCCCCCCCCAACAGTTGTTCAGTGAGAAGACTGCCTCTGAACACGGAGATTTAGCTATCAGCCCCGGTTGCAACTCATGGCAGCAAAGTCCACAAGTCACCTGTTGTGTGAAGGCCTTCCTTTGGTCTGTCCTTACTGTCTTCCCCAATCAACGTTGTTGGATGCCCTGTCGTGTTATGAAAGGAGGCAGAGAGTTCTCCTCCATCTCATGAATTTTACAAACCTCTCTCTCGTCCCTGCCGTGGTCGTATTTTCCATAAACTGAAAAATTCCCAAACTGCTTTGTTCGTCTTTGCAGAAAAGTGCAGGGTTGCCACTAAAAATTTTATTTTTCATTTCCCTGACTTTTCCTGACCAACGTTCGTCGGTTTCCCTGACCACCATTCAAATATAACCACAAGTTAAAAAATGAATAGGTTGTGTTGCATTAATGCAAGGCTTAATGAAATGTTCTACTCTACAACTACAAAAGTCTCAGCTGCAAAACTATTTGCCAAAGAGATTTAGTATCAGCTTCTTTCAACATTAACTGCAGCAACATCTGTTTTGCAGTGGCACCAAAAATTACACCAAGATACAAACTTCAAGTAAACGCTGAATGCTAACAAATGACGTCACATTTTTGTCGTTGTTTTAAAGGTACACTAAAAATTATATAAACGTTCTAGGTGCTCATCTCCGTTTCAAAGCCGAAGAGCCAGCGCTGTCCGAAGACATTTCCGTGGTCATGTGGCCGGCATGACTAAACACCAAGGCGCACGGAACGCTGTTCCCTTCCCACCGAAGTGGTACCTATTTATCTACTTGCAATTTCTTGCTTTCGAACTGCTAGGTTGGCAGGAGCTGGGACTAGAGATGGGAGCTCACTATGTCATGCGGCACACTCGGGTCTCGAACTGCCGTACTACCGACCTTCCACAGCCTGCAGTTCAGCGTCTTAACCACTTGAGCCACCGCAGCAGGGTTACAAAAGCTAAAGGAAGCATTAGCAACACAGGACAGTGCGATCATCATAATTGATTGCAAAGGGGGTCTGAACCTGGCACCAGGTCGGTAAAGATGATCAGTGGTGGTTTGCCATTGCCTGCCTATGCGTAGCAACCCTAGACCTCTTTGGTGGGATGGGGAGATGGGAGCTCACTCCGTCATGCGGCAACTCGGGTCTCGAACTGCTGAACTACTGACCTTCCACAGCCTACAGTTCAGCGTCTTAACCACAGCGTCTTAACCACCGCAGCTCCTTGCAGTACCAGCTCAAAAATCCACTGCTTGAATATATTTTAATCACAATTTCCCTGACTTCAGACCAGTTTCCCTGACCAATTTCCATTTCCCTGACTTTCCAGAAAGTGGTAACCCACTGATTACTTGGGATTGCACTTTCCTGCACCTCTTTTTGAGATCGATGATCACCTAATTGAGGCTGGATTTAAGTGTGATGCTGGAGGACTTGAAGCGTTTCAGCCCCACACTCCGGCATGTTCACATTGTGCAGGTAACGGCTTTGCTTTCGTTCTTTTGCCGAGCATGGATTCTGCCCTTCTCTCACTGCCTTTGCATATGACATCGACTTTTCCTTGAGCTGACCACTATGATGGACCTCTTTCCTGGTCAGCTGGATCAGTGTGTGCTCATTCCGAAACCTCCTGTAACAGAACTGTCTTCCCCATCTGCCACCTTCTTGTCAACTATTTTGTCCACGTGGGCAGGGAGAGGCACAATCCTAGAGCTGGAGGAGGTAATGTGGGATTCTGCAACCTTCCTTGTGCCATGGGGCCTGGCCACTTAATGCTGCTGGTCTGGTCACCACACCTCAAAAAGGATATTACAGCATTGGAGAAAAGTTCAGAAAAGGGCAACTAGAATGATCAAAGGGTTGGAACAAAGGGTTAAAGAACTTGGGGCTCTTTAGCTTGGAGGAACGACGGCTGAGGGGTAACATGACTGAGGTTTATAAGATTATGCATGGGATAGAGCAGGTAGAGAAAGAAGTACTTTTCTCCCTTTCTCACAATACAAGAACTCGTGGGCACTCCATGAAATTGCAGACCAGTCGGGTTAGAATGGATAAAAGGAAGTCCTTCACCCAAAGAGTGATGAACACGTGGAATTCACTGCCGCAGGAGGTGGTGGCGGCTACAAGCATGGACAGCTTCAAGAGGGAATTGGATAAACATACGGAGCAGAGGTCCATCAGTGGCTCTTAGCCACAAGGTATAGATAGGAACTCTCAGGCTGGGGCAAGGGATGCTCTGTCTTCTTGGTGCTGGGGGGGGGGCAACAGTGGGAGGGCTTCTAGCATCCTGGCCCCACTGCTGGACCTCCTGATGGCACCTGGTATTTTTGGCCACTATGTGAGAGAGTGTTGGACTGGATGGGCCTTTGGCCTGATCCAACATTGGCTTCTCTTATGTTCTTATGTTTTCTTATGTATTCAAGGTGCCACTCTTGAATGCCCTTCTAAGCTTTCTTGCCCTGTGGAAGGGAACTCAAAAGGCATTGAAATGCCTTCTGAAGGCAATTAAATGCCCTCTGAGCTGTCTTTTTTTAGGTCCCAAGATGCCCCCCCCCATTCCACAGTGGGAGGGAGAGAGAAGTCTGAGGGGAAGCAGTGGCACGGGGGGGGGGGGGCTCTTCCCTAACAAATATATATACTTGTCTTCTTGTTGCTTGGGGGGGGGCAACAGTGGGAGGGCTTCTAGTGTCCTGGCCCCACTGCTGGACCTCCTGATGGCACCTGGTATTTTTGGCCACTGTGTGTGTGACAGAGTGTTGGACTGGATGGGTCATTGGCCTGATCCAACATTAGCTTCTCTTATGTTCTGCTCTTTTGCAGGAAATGCACTGCCCTTCCAAGCAATGATCAGTGTATCGCAACCAACCCACCACTGTCACCTCAGACAGGACACTAAGGAAGGGAGGAGAAAATTGCCACACTGAAGTCCAGGAAACAAGACAGTCAGACACAGACGTGGGGATGTACCATTCTCCAAGTACTGCAACAAACACCGCTCTGCATGCTATGGTCCTCAATTAACATACCATGGGGCACTCTGAAATACAG